AATAAACTAAGATAATAAACAGATTATCAGTAAAACATCAACAACATATCAGTGAAGCAGCAGTAGTGAAGCATCCGAATACATTGAAGTAAGTATCTTGAAGATGTATGGTTGATACATTACTTACATTAAGCAAGTAATGTTAACCTGACAAGTAATAAACATAGTCTTAACCCCTGGGGTGCACAAATTTGCCCATGCATTAAATTTGATTTTTCTAAATCTGTTTGTCTATCTTTGTGATAATCCAGCACAGAAATACAGTTCACACATTTCCTGAATCTGTAGAGTCGCCCTTTCCATTCCATCTTATCACGAGATCGTATGTGACTCACATCTGGAGTTATGAGCCTATGAAGAGGGGCTGAGATTCACGTCATCTGCCTCTCACCATATGGAACTGGTGGATTCATGTGTCTGTCTACATTCTGTGTGAAACTGACCGATGGACACTCAAGAAATCACTAAGCACTGACCATCACACCAGAAACCCTTCATTCTTCATTCAGTCCACATCTGAGATGTGATGAAGATAACAGAGCATTTTGATATGAAACATATGAGTATCATGTTATATGAAGAGCCTTTAAAGAAGGATTTAAGAAGATATGCACAAATCAAGAACATGACCTTTGACCCCAGAGGGTTGAACTCCAGGTACAGAATGGTGTCAGTGTGTCTGTAACAGGTTGTTGAGGATGTTGATGGTCTGTATTAAACCTGTTACATGTTCAGTTCCTCTCAAGTTAAACATCTACAGATCTGAACTTGGACCCTCGAAATGAAACCAAAAAACAACATTCAGCAGATTATAAACAAATTTTATTTATGCTGTTAATTCAAAGTTTCTTGATAATCTACTGAATGTTTTCACTGCTGCTACATGATTGATATGTTGTTGACGTTACTGAGAGTACAAAATCGCAAAACATCAGTGGTGAACCTTGGCTGCTAGAGCTAGGCCTTCACTTTGAGCCGTAACTGTCTAAACTCAGTCAAAAGCCAAGAATGAACAGTCTAGAGTGTTAGGTATTTATTGTTTACAGATCCAGGATCCAAGTTTAGAGACAGCACTCTCAGATGAGACTTTAATATGAAAACAACACTCTACTGCCCCCCTCTGGTTTGCTGCTGCCACTCACCATCAACAGAATTATACTTTTATAAGACTTTTTCTAATTTTAACTAGTAAATATCACACACTTTTTCTCACCTCTTAACCAATGGTGTCAAAACCATTTAATTCACCATGTAAGTATTCTGATTCCAGCTTCAGTACACCACCATGATAATACTAATTTCTTTGGGATTTTCTGGGATGAACTTTGACTACTAGATCTAGGCTTCAGTTTAGGCCATAAATACCAAAACATGGTCAAAACACCTCTATGATAGTGTTATTTTCTGCAAATACCCCTATGGGATTCTAGTATGTTCACATTATGCTAACGCTGGTGCACATTTACATTATTTGGCCATTCTCATTTGAACACAAACATTTGGAGCTTGTAAAAGACATTCCACATGTTTCACCTGAAGCTGGTAGCAGACATTAACATATATCTTAACTAGTATGTATCAGTTTTACAGTGACTCAGTAAAGTGTCCAGACAGAGAGCTGCTGCCAGCAGCTGAGAATGGTCCTCCACCCAAATAATACCTGGTTAGTGGTTGTCTAATGATGGTCCCTCTCCAATGATGAATGGCATATAACCGTGCAGCAACAGATGGGCTACAGTCTGTAAATGTTTCCCTAGAAAAGTGCACCTGCATGGTAGGTGTTTCCGATAAAATTACCTATAAGTATTTTATTTCATGTTTCTGTAATTTAGTCTACCTCCTGTATATCTCATAAATTAGCCTACATTACAGGAGCAAATTGGTTGTAACCTAGCAATAATGAATAAACACACAGATAATATTGTCTCCTTTAATTCACGTAAAGTTATGTACGTTTTTGGGGGGGGGGTGAGGGGGCATTCATTTTTGTTGAATTTGGGCCTATAAGATCCTAGTTATGGAGCTCATGAGTGTTTTTTTATAGCTTCTGAGACACTGAGATGAGTAAAGGCATTGTTACACCACCATTTCTAGGCTAATAGAGAGTTACTGTCACAAAGGAAAGACGACTAAGGCCATTAGCAGTGTTTTTGTAAGAAAAAGCAGGCATAACAGTTGTCATTTTGATCTTTTGTAATATATTGTCAGCAATAAAAGCTGGACACGACTAATAAATTAAAATGCTGCCATTATTCTACCTTTCATTTTCTTTCTAGGCAACCCCAAATGGACTTCTTGTGACCTAGCTGTTCAGAAATGCCTAATTTTATGTTTATCTTATGCATAAATAAGATTACTGATGTACACAGCTACAGGATTGCAGTTAATACATCATATTTGGTGCTCACGCCAACATTATGACTAAAAATAATAATGTACTGCCCTCTGGTGGCCAAAGCTCTTCACTGCTCTGCTTTGTCTGAATTCATTGACTTCACCTCTCGTAAACAGACATGCAGGCATCTATACCATGATGATACATAATGGTTGGATATAGAAGGCCACTCTACGGCTAATTACATCCAACAAGCACAATAATGTGATTCCTGTTTACTCCAGATGGCTCGTAACTCTATCAGTAGGATGTAAGAAGACACACAATTATAAAGCTAATGTCTTATTTGGTCTGGTCAAGCTGAAGGATGTATAAATTTAGAGGAGTACATGCTAATGAAAGCTAATTTTGAACAGACTGAAACACAGCAGCTCTTAGTCCATAGGGACCAGACGCCTTCACATGCGTCATGCACTCACCGGCCATTAGCCTGTTTCTGGCTTCCACATCATGGAAAATAATGTCTTTAGCTAAGGCACTATGAGCTAATGAGGCTAACATGTGAGCCGTGCATGTGTGGGTGGTGTTTATTGACTATTTGAGTGCAATCTGTCTGTTTGTCTCTTTGATATCTTTCAGTCTGCGAGCTGTTCTACTGTTGAGGCAGGCTTTTGTTTACATCCTGTTAAAGCTTTAGTTCTTTTTGTGCCAAGAGTTTCCTCATGCACTCTTTCCAAAACACTTTATAGTAAGTGTTTGAAACTTTAGATGAGGTCAGTAAAGGGCAACTGTTGTGGCTGCATTACTAACCCAGGACTTGACGTGTTGCAAACACCCAAGGCAATTAAACCAGCTGCATGGCTGTGATCTTTGCAGAACAGCAGGGTTCTGTAATTACTTCATGACCTTTTTCATAACCACTGGACAATTTGGTAACTTTTATCAAACTCTCTGTGAGGGTGCAGTCTGAGAGCAAGTCCTTCAGAAAGTCCTTGAACTGTAGATGGTAACATTTTGCAATCAGAAATGCTGGGCATTTTGTAGAAAGTAGCACTGTCAAACAATTAGATGGCTCATGGAAATTAGTTTGCCTACTTTTTTTTAAATAAATGAAGCTGATGTAGTATGCCATTATTTAAATTTTCAAATTTACTGCTCATATATGAACACTAAGCTGCAAAAACAGCCTGTTTTGAATTCATTGTTTTTATGATGTCACCAAACTGATGTCAAGTTTACTCATATCCAACTATCCACCCTGTAGATGTTTAGCCCTGCCTATTCACTTTGAGGTTAAAGAGAATGTTTGGACTGGTTTTTGAACGAGACAGGATACAGTGCCGACAATGTGACGATGCATCTGGCAGATGCTCTAATCTAAAGTGACTTACAATTTAACCATGTTGCAGAGGGAGGCGAATGTAGTGTTAGGAGTCTTGCCCAAGGACTATGGTGTAGTAATGGTATAGCATGGGCTGCATTCGGCCTCTACAAGATGTAGCAAAACATTTATTTAAACGGACATGATTGGGTAACACCACTGACATGCCCATAACACCTCAGAAAACGCACCTCAAAGCACCTAACTCAACCCAGAAACCATAGCAAAATGGTGTGCAACATTTTAGATTGAATGTGCCCCTTGTGTTCCTGTCTGGGTGGGGAATCACACCCCCAAGGATGGCAGCGGGACTACAACTTACACTATAAATTACACTACACCCGTGGACGGGAGGCTTCCAACCTTTTCTACCTAGAGGCAACCACAAAGGCAGCCCACAAAATGTTATAGACCAGATCATCGTAAGTGCAACCAAATAATACATTAATCAATTTAGTCTGGCAACACTTCAAAATGACTGAACATTTCCTAACTCACCTAATGAGTTAGCTGATGTTGTTTGGTTGGATGAAATGCAAAAGAAATTAAAGTTGTGAAAGTAGTTCTGGCTCATTTCAGGTTGAGATGCCTATTTGTTCAACTTCAACCTGATAGTGTAATCTGTTTGGCTTCAAAGCTTTGTTTAATAATAATAATAATAATAATAATAATAATAATAAACCTCTGAAAGTTCAGCAGAGAGTGATAGTTGCTCCTTTTCTGTTCTCATGTATAACTGGTAATATCCTGCATGGCAAATAAATGTAATTAAACAAATTAATTTACTTGTCCAGCCTTGGGATCTTTGTTGAAAGAACCTGTTTGTAGTCGTTTATCTATGATGAAGGAATTCCACAAGAAAGAAAAGAAAAATGTTACCACCGTTTTAGCAAATAAATAGTCATATTTAAGATAACTTTTGGTTAAATGTTTACATATAGTAAAAGAATGAGGTTTAAAAACAAAAAGCCCCCCTAGCAGTACCACTGTGGCCCACTGGGGGGCTGTGGCCCAAAGGTTGCCACTGCTGAAGACAATCAAGACTAGCTCACTTATATATATATATATCAGACACAGTTGCATAAATAGCCTGTTTAATTCTAAGGGCTAAAGAGTGGTTGGAAAATTAATATGTCAATTAAAATTTTGTAATTTGGTACATAAAACCACACAAACATTATAAATGGATTTCAAGGTGGTGTTGGGGGTGGGGGGCGGGGACTGTAACTGGAGCCACAATCAAAAAGACCTGCAATCTAGGTGGGATTCTGTCAGAAAAGGTTGAAGGGACAAACTAGCAAATGTGTTAATGCTGTTAAAAAATTTAGTGACATTTATCATCTATTGGTTTAATACGTTATTAACATGCAACACTTTGACAGCCATAGTAGAAAGATTTTCTAAACTCCACGCTTGTTTAGTTTTCTCCAACTTTGGGCACTACTTGCATGTGAAGTTTGGTACTTTGAAAACATTATAACATTTTCAGGTGTAATCTAACTAAACGTCCACCTATTGTTCAAAAGTTCTGCATAACTCATTGTGATTTGGTGTGAAATGGTTGATGGTAGAGACTTCTTTACAGTGGTGGTGATAGGAACCAGGGGTCACCACAATACAAGACTGAGAAACTGCACAAGTGAGTGAAGTGGTTTCACAGCTTTATTACAATCTCATTTAAGGTAAGTCACAAACTTCACAGTGACCCTGTACCATTTGCAGTGCAATTGTTGTTAAACCTGAATCTGAGATACAGAACTTTAAAGCAAATCACAAAAATAGTAAAGCAGCAATGTTATTCAATGGTAAAATAAGACTTTACACCAATAATGAACATGAACAATAAATACACATATAAATTCATCAAAATACTGCACTGCAGTAGCATCGCCCACAGAGTAATATAGAGTTGTGTACTGAGATACAAATGCCAAAGTGAGGGTTGCAAGATAACACCTGTATAACACCTGTACCTGAATACACTTAATCTACTAGATTAAAATAATTTCAATATCATTTCCACATGAATAAAGTATATCAAAGTAATTATTTTTAAATATTTCTGACATAGACACTTTAAAAATAGTGTCATGATAGGTTCTTTGAGTGATGCCACAGACAATCCCACTCTTGGAAATAAGATTTGCGAGTGTAAGGAACCTTTTAAAGGTTTGAAGGTCCCATTCATAATGGAAATGTTTCTATACCAGTTTAAGTGTTCATCTTAAAATGTACACATCATGTGGAGCTTATTTAGACTTTAAAAGGCTGTTCGCACTGATGCATCACATTTACAAACATGGTTCTCTGAAAAACCAACCTCTGAAAGGTGGGACCAAATGTGGGTGCCAAAAATAAAAACACAAGAGAAATAAGAATAAGAGAAACAAAGAATGAACAAATAAAGGACTGTGAGGCATGAGGAGAAGAATTCATGTAGAAATTATGTACAAATTTTCCAAAACTCACTGTCCAGGCAGAACCTTTAGCTTCATTGCATGTCCAACAGGTGAGATGCACACTGGAACAATTCTCTGTTCAAGTATGCACGAGTCTTTGCGGCTGTCGCTCCACTTGCTAGCAGTAGTGATGTTGGTGGAGCTGTCCTTCCAGCCAGGGATGAGAAGTTTCTTAAATACCCCTTTAGCTCTTCTCCTGAAGTGCTTCCCAACAACCACGTACAGGAAAGGGTTAATCGAGCTGTTAGCATAAGCTAGGTAGGTGGACAGCTGGATGCTAATGTCCAAAATGTGGCCAAACAGGCACCCTGGAATGAGATGAAAGTAATCCAGAGTGTCCAAGAGACGCACCACCTGGAAGGGCGTCCAGCAGAAGAGGAAGACGGCTAGCACTGTTAGCACCAGATGAGTAGCCCTTCTTTCCGTCTGCACACCTGGAAGGGCCCCTGCACTGCTGTCTTTAAGAGCCTTCACCATGTGGTGAGTGCAGAATGCAATTATCGGCAATGGAATTACAAACCCAAGAATGTTACTGGTTAGGTTCCTTTGGATCCTCCACTTAGGGTGAGGGAACTCCAGAATGCAGGCATGAACATCTACATCAGAAATGTAACTGACTGTTCGGAAAAGAAAAGATGGAATGCTAAGCAGGAAGCCCACTAACCAGATGCCCAAGCAAATGCGCTTGGCCCAGACTGAACGCCTTAACCGGCTGGGATTCATGGGTCTGGCCAAGGCCAAATAGCGATCCACGCTAACCAGGACCAGGAACAGTACACTACAGAAGTAGTTCATGGAGATAGCCGTGTTTACCAGCTTGCAGAGCACCTGGCCGAAGCTCCACTGGTAGTCCTGAGCAATGGTGACCGCCCAGAAAGGTAAACAAAGAACCATCATCAGGTCAGCGAAAGCCAGGTTGCCCAGGTAGATATCAGCCACAGTGCAGGGTTGCCGCTGCAGGCAGAAGACACAGAGAACCAGGCCATTTCCCACCACACCGAAGATGCTGATAAGTGCCATGAACTTGGGTTGGAGACTGGTCAGCCATTCCCAGGCTTCTGTATAGGTGCAGTTGTCCATGGCCAGCCCTGAGTCCACAGTAGGGACCAAGGACTCAAATAAGTTCAGCTCCATTAAAAACCTTTAAAAATAATAATAAATAAACAAGTTAGACATGCATTTGGTCTTGATCTCAAACAAGAATTTCTGTTCAAATCAGACACATAGCCAAGGGTAAGTCTGGATCGATCCAGATTTATCACAGTTCTACTTAAACAAATTGGGGCAGAATATTTATTAAGCTGCATTTGAATTATATGCATTGCAATATGCTCTGTGCCTTATTTTCTCAGCCCTCCAATCACTGCTTAGCGGTCGCTTCTATCTACCATTGCCTTGAGCCTTCGGTTCATTATCAGTGCACCAGAGTTTGAACTTGAAGCTCCAACTGTGGTCAAAAGATGAAAAGAAGTGAAATCCTTTGCAGATAGAGTAGATTATGTAGTTTTACACCCATTTCCAAAGCTATTGTTGTCATTAGAGGTTGCAAATGTGGTACTTACAATACTGTACTAATAAAAATCCAAATATATGGGTCAAAATATCAAATCAAATGACAAAAAATAATCAAAATCCACACCTCAACACATCAAGTTATCAAAGGTCAGCTAGAAATAGTCCAAAAATCTTCTTGCCCGCCATGGCAGTATGCTTTTAGCCTAGGGTGATTTTTCTTCCTCTTGTACATCTCAGCTATCTGATGATGTTGGTTGTGGTTATTACAGTATTCTGGTTGATATGTACAGTCATGCTTATGTTTTCTATCACTATTAGGCACTGCTGTCAGAAACAGGCTATAGCCTGATGTTGTGACATTATTTCACTGATCCAAACTCATTCTATCCATCCTGCCCTCGATTCCTAGTCCAGGTTTCATTCTGTTCATACTCTGCTGCTCCACACCTGTGGAATCTGATCTCTGATAACGTCTAAGCGTCAGGCAATTTAAGGTTTTTTAGATCTCTTTTTAAAACTTTTTCAGGATGCATATTGTTGCTAGTTGATTTATCTGTCTGCATTGTGGATGTTCACATTTATTTTGTATTATGTATTTTACATTACAATATTTTACATCTGTCATGCATTTCAAGTGCTTGGAGAAGGGGCTATTTAAGAGTAGTTTGAGGTATTAAGTGGCCAGGTGTAGGGTAAAGACTTCATTCTTAATGCTCTTAAATAGCCAGAACATGTTTCATTTTAGTGTAATTTAGTTGGATCATCATCTAGTACTTTGGAGGTTGTACCTAACACTATGGCTAATACCAAGAAAGACAGCATCACCTAATAAAAATTAAATATTATAATAGCCTGGAGCATTAAAATGAAAGCCATGTATCTTATCTCTACAACTCTCAGACTTGTGTGTAGTTTCAGCTAAAAGGAATTTCAGCAATGCCAGCCATGACGCTGTTGATGAAAGCTGAAATATGACGCTGCCGTAGCTGAAATCACAGCTGTTGTGTAATTCAGGGGATATTTAGCTCTTACTTGTGCATGAATCAGCGTTATGGTGAGATTCCAGTATATTCACCTTCCTGACGAGACTTTAGTGAACAGTTCATCATAACTTTCTCCTGGACTCCTGCTGGGGTCTGTGTTGGGCTTTCTTAACTGTTCACATTAACATTCTCACCGAAATCATGGATTTAATTGCCATTCTCAGTCCTTTACACTTCTAATTTCAGCTGTTGCTTTTGGTTAATTTCTATGCTGTTTAATAATTGGGCTCATTTTCCTTCTTTATTCATTTTCATTTCATGTCATTAATCATCTCTTTATTCATTATTGTCATAACTCATATTGTTTTTTATTGTTATTTGTTAGTGTGTTATTAAGTGCTGTCTGAGGAATGAGTTCCAATTTTGAGTCTTGGTTTCTCAAGGATTTATCCGGCGATGAAGAGTCGACTCCTAAAGAGACGATTCTTTGTCTCAAATTTGAAATGCTTGTAATTTATTTTTTTTTCACTGTTATAGGTTTGAGGGACATGTTGACGGATGTGTGTGTGTAATACAGAAAGAGAGTTTAACTCCATTAGCATTAGCTTGTTTCTTTTGAAGGCTACAGATAGCTGCAAAACAGCTGCTTTGAAGTTTGTACCACACACTTTCCAGGTTAAATCTAGAACTTAAGATACTGTAAAAGAAAGCATTACCAAATAAAAAGTCTTACTATTATTATTATCATTGCCCGGAGCATTAAAATTAAAACTGTTAAAAAGTCCAGCTTGCTACTGAACATAACAACCATCTCCAACTCATAACTATTAAAACTTAAATCTATCTGACAAAACTTGCAAACAGTTGCTGTGTCACATTATTCTTAATTTGATGACTGAAATAAAATCTTTAGCTTTAGAAGAACAATATTTTAAAAATGATATTTCCTAAAACTTTGGGTAGATTTTACAAAACTAGTGCAAGTTTTGCCTAAATCATGACAATTTTCTTTTCCAAACAGTTTTTTAAAGCACATATTTAAATTCTTAAGCTCTGAAGTCGCTGCTTTACTGAGGCTACTCATTATTTAGCATTATTTCACATGCATTATTTTACAAAATCACATGGTCTCCAAAAGCACCCACTGTGAAACCCAAGTTCAGCTCATACCTCCAGTGGAAAAAGGACATTTCAAAACAGAAAGTAAAAAGATAATGATTTATCTTCTAGAGTCTCTTAAGTATCATGTTTAAACAAACTGTCTTATTTGGTCGAATTTTCTCAAAGTAATTATTTAAGCCATTATGTTGAAATGATCACATACTTTCTCGGAGAGTAACATATTTTTCCCACTTAGTCATTATTTTGATTTACTAAGGCAAGATCTCGAGAAAATAAATTATTAAAATAAGTCTTTCTCAATAGATGATAAAAATTCCTTTTTGTTCTTTCCTATCTGGTGGAAACCTTCTTTCACAGAAAAAAACCTGTGTTTATTTTGTGCTGGTCAGTTGTACCTGTGGTCATTTGCATGTTTGTTTTGTGTATTTCTCTTAAATTTTAGTTTCAGTCCCCAAAAACATGTCCATATGCAAAACTTTTTAAAATGTTGACTGGCTAAAACTACTGCATCTAAAGGCATTTCTAAATCCCAATTCTACATTCTTAAAACAGATCTCTTCTTTTAAAAGTGTAGAGAACTTCTACCATAAACTCTTCAGTCTGTTTTTACTCCAACACCTTAAACCTAATTTATCTGCTAACTGCCAAGAATTTCATGGCCTGAATAAGGAAAAAGTGTTCCAAAATTAAGATTTGGAACACAGAACTAAAACACTGTATAGTCTACATTGTTCAACCTGTTCAGACATTTTGATCAAGCTCCAATATCTCATCTTCTTCTCACATACCTTGCATAACACAGTAGCAAAGCCGAACTCCAGTTTCAGTGAAAGGAAACGCTCTCCAGCTTGGCCGTCTGGCTGATTCTGCTCCAAGTGGAGAAGGTCTGGCTGCCAGACGCTTTTATAAGAGCATAACAAGGCTGTCGTCACTGCAAGCCTGGATCTACTCTCACTTTCCACCTTCTCTGCTCTGGCTCCTGCTATGACTAATACGGCTGCACATCTGGGTGTCTTATTACTGTACACTGCTGAAGGTACGCTGCCCTGTTCACCTCCACCTCACACAAACATCATCCAGAACCTTCAGGTCATGTGATTAAACAAAAGTTATCCAAGGTAAGCGAGTCATAGTTTGGGTTCAGAGATGAGGTGTTCTTTTTACTCTTCTAACTTATTATCCTTTATTAGTGATTGCACATTGCAAAGCAACATTATTGTTATCTGACTGTATGTTATTCTTTTCTTATTTTTCAATTTATTCTTTTCTTATTTTTCATTTTATTTTTTTCCATTAGGAATGAATGGGGTCAAAAGTTTGTGCACCCAACTTATGTCATGATGATACAAGTCCATTAGTAACACCCTTTTAACCATGTGGGGAACCACAGCAACCACCAACAACACCCTAGCAACTACCTGGGATAGCAACCACATAGTAACACCTTAGCAACCACCTAAAATATCTTAGTAACCAGCTGGAAACACCCTAGCAACCATCTCTGAATTGATTAGGCTGCACATTCACTCTGCATTTTCTTCAGGAAATGCACTTTTCTAGTTTTGTTTATTATTATGTTGCACAGATGAAATAAGTTTCACTCAGGAAATAAACAAAATGTTTGTCCATGTGTGTCCAAACCTGCAAAATATGCCCTATGATTATCTTTCCAAAGCACAACAAATGGCTGATGTATCTCATCATTACCCTCACTAATCACAGGGCTGATGTGTCTTGTCCTACCCACAAAGCTTTAACCCAACTTACTCACGGAGAGAAAGCTGACCACCAAGCAAAAGCTAATGACAGAGTGAACACTGACCACTATTTGAGATTGTAATATTGATCTTCTTCAGTAGCAGTCATCCAATTTCATTAATCGGTTAAGTGCATCATCTATTTTCCACCTTCTTTCCAACCAGCTTACTAGAATAACATTAAATATTAAAACATTAATTAATAATATTATCACCATCATCACTGCGGTATCAAGTACTAATGGTGAACTATATGCTGATATTTCTAATTATCTTCCAGTCTTCTAGTAACTATAGCCATACACACAGCTAGAATAAGTAATACCAGAGAACTTGTAGAGGAGAATTACCACTCTGTAATGTAATCTGCAGGCTCCTCAGAAACTGGCTCTGGTAATACTGCCAGAAACTTCAATAACAGCAACACTAACAAATTCTCTCTAAATACATTTTAAACTCTACATAGAATGATGTTCAAACTCAAAGTAATGCACAGTGTTCCTACTCTGCATTCTGAGAGATAATTATTTAATGAATTAAGCAGTCATTTTCATTTGTCCTGGATCACCCACAAGAGAGCAATCAGTAAAAACACAAGCTTTACAGAGATTATTTGATGAATCCTACAGAAAATATGTTACATTTAGAAATAAACTACAGCACACACTCAAAAACACAAAACAACAGTGTTACTGTGATAAATCCCAAAGAGCCCAGAATAACATGAAGAACACATGACAAGTTATCAGTGAACTCACCACTAGTTGCACCCAGACTGCATGACCATCTCACAACAACTGAAATCTGTATTACTGCATGAAAAAAAAAACCTTGTGCTGTTAATGGAATAATCTTTAACTCTAATGCTGCTCACATGACCTCTGAGTGTGCTGATGAAGTTAGAACCCATTTTTTGTTTGAACTGAGGGTCTGGCTACCAGGCTAAAGACAGCTAACAGCCTAAAAATCTCCATCTTTAATATCACAGACTTAAATTAAAGTGCTTACAGTATGATTAACTGTAAAATGGCAGTATAAAAGTCTAAAAATGTCACTCGAATGTCTTCAGTCTTCAAATGTTTGTGTTTCATACTCAGGCTGAATCCCAAATGGCTCTGTACTCCCTATATAGTGTGCTAGCTATGAAAGTTTAGAAATTCTACCGTCTACAGCCAAATAGTGCATCATTTATAGAGTATGGATGTGTCTGAGTCCCAAATGACTATTTCGTAGCTATATTTTGCACCGTTGGGCTGCAGGATCCAGTATTTAAATTCATAGGTAGTGCACTATGTAGGGAGCAGAGAGCCGTTTGACATCCACCCAAGTGTGAGAAGAGGGGTGCTGCTGGATTGGTGCTAAATAAGACTCGTGGTGGTAATTTGGAGACCAAAAAGTACTTATAAAGTGAAAGTGTGTGCAGTAACCGGGCTGTGTTATCAAATGTTCAAAGTTATGCAAAAAGTTTAAAAATCTGTGAAATAACCGCAGTGTACAGCGATGGGTCACTGGACGTTCTCCTCATTCAGCAGTCAACGGTTGCTTCGTAATGATACCATGCTCTAAAGGAACTACATTTCTTGGTGGAGTCCTTGTTTATGTCAATTATTATTAATAATAAATTATGTTTTGAAAAATTGTGCATTTTATCTTGGTTTATGTTGGCTGCCATTTTATCAAAGAAATAAGCCACTTCAGACTGTGTGTTACTTTTATCACGGTAAAGGGGGTTTTACTCCGCTTTGCGTTGTGCCTAAGAACACTCTTCCCCGTGATAAAATCGCAGTAATGCACAGCCTCTCATGGCTTATTGCTTTAATATACTGAGTATAGCCCATTTTATTTCTCTGTTGCATTTAGTTCTTCAGTTCTGTAGCAGGCTGGGAGTGTCAGACTGAGGAATGTCAATCACAGATGCTCATTAGAATATTAGGCCACACCCACACAGTTCTCAATGTAAACATTTTTAATATTTTACACTGGGTTCCCTGTAACTACAAGTGACATCATATAATGAAATAAATCCAAATGGGATGGAAAAGAAAGACTTAGAAGGCGAGATTTAGGAGGGGGCTGCTTTCTGGGGGCTATGGCATCCCCTTACATCCCTACTCAAATTGAGCCTGAGGTTAATCATGTAAACCTTTTCAGCCCACGTTATAATGTGTTTATCATGGGCTCACTTATGAAGATTGAAGCTCTGGCCTCTGTGTGGTTTCCCCTCAACCATAACACCCACAAAGATCAGATGCCTCAGCTCAGAGGCTGGCAGCCCTGCACACGCAGCTGGTGTGTAACAGTGTAACAGTACTCCTCCACACAGCGCTAATCTGTTTCTTGGCTCTATTGGCCCTGCGGCGGTCTCTCCCACTCTGTGTTTTCTCTCACATTGACTTTGTTGACTGTGTGGGGCCGAAATTAAATGCCCCCTTATCGCTGCAAATTATTGCTAAATAGGAAAAATTTTCCAATGGCTTAAGATGAAATATTTCTCACTAAGAATTCCAAACTGTCAGATCACACATCCTGGATTTCCTTCTCATATTACCTCAGTCTCCCTCCACATTTTCACATAAACAAGCTCTGCTTTAGTCCAATCTAATGAGAACTGTGAGTGTTTGGTTTTTGAGTGGACAGTGGACTATTTCTCTGCAGATCTGACAGACAGATTTGGGCTTCACTCTAAGTTCTCCCACCGGAGCTGCTGCAATAGTTGAGCAATATCATCCATTTTCAAGAAATCCTGAGAAAATGTGAAGTATTCCTGCAAATACCTATCAATCAAGTGGGATGTAACTTCTGTTCCTTCAGCTAAACATGTCTACTGTGATGTCTGTCAAGCATTCCATACCGCTTTAAAGCCTATTATTATTATTATTTTTATTATTATTATTATTATTATTATTATTATTATGTATTTGGGAAACTCGGAATGGGTTTTGTTTTCTAAATTTAGATGCCATTAATTCATTTTAATTGTACAGTACTGTGCTAAATTACCTGTATTGTGCTTTTTTTAAATGGGGTCTGAGGGCATTTTCTTGATTTTTGTATGTATTCTTAGATTTGCCTTTAAAGACTCTTGCTTATGGTATGACACCCACATGTTATATATCAAAATGTTCAGAACAATCTCAGCTGTAATGAGGCCCTTTGGACCTGCACTGTAGCCCTATAGCTGAAAAACTGAAATCCGATTTGCAAATTCTTAATATTGCTTGTGTTTACTAAAGTCTTCGGATTACAAAAGTAGTGGAACGTATGTTTAAAATAGTAGATAAATGTTCTCCTCAACACTACTTTCCAAAACTGCTGCAGCAACTTCAGCCGTGGTTGATGAAAGTTTGTAACTAGCACCTATAAGTTCATTTATAGTGTATTTCACAGTATAGTTGTAGTACAACATAAAAGTTAGATGGAAAGTAGTTGTGTACTTAAAGTTTATTACTCTTTTACCTAAAGTATATTTAAAATTGTACTTTTACAAACTAGGAAGATATCAAGAAGTATTGAAATAGTCAATTTATAAGTATACTACTTCTATAGTCATATTAATATACTCACTACATAAAGTTTACTTTGGAAATATACTTGAACTTTACTTAAGTTTATTTAATAAAAAGAACTCTAAGCATATTTGGTTTTGTAAGGTTATTATTTCAGGCCTCTGAAGAACGTTCTCCAGCATCATCCATCAAAGGACCAGTTGATATTTAGCTCTGATGAGATTTCTGCAAGGTGGTGTCCCTTGCTGGCCCAGTTTGCCCCCAGGCTGTGGAGATGCCCATTTGGACATGGCATTTCTGTGGCAGTGCCAGCGTCCATCCCTGTCCCAGCTGTTAAAGCGGGTCACTTCGGCAGCCGGCCCACTATCAGCACATCTCACCGCCACCTGAGATGGATAGCTTTAATTAAAGCCGGTGGCAGAGACACTTTAGCAGGAGGCTCTCAGGAGGTCGGAAAGCAAGCCAGCCAGGAGTGAGAGGAGGCTGTTTGTTAACGTTATCCTTTCTGTTCATCAAGGATCACCTCCAGCATCTAAATCTAACCACATGCATGCTTACTGAAGGGCTGGCGGGCAGCATTTGGAATGCGGATGGAGAATGATATGAATTTTGCAACAGCTGGTGGGTTTCTGAGGAAAGCAGATGGTACAATGTCACTTACAGCGAGCACCCCAGCTTCAATGGAATCCACACCTCATTCTTATCTTACTGTAACTTCTATCCAGCAAATCTATACCTGCACATAGATGAACATGTTGTACATATACATATCTTGCATAATCTCGAAGATATATATCAACATTCT